GACCACCTAGACAGTAACAAAGCACCATACAGCTGCTTGCTCACTCCTACCCCCTTCTGGTGCCATAAGAGGAGAAAATACAAAAGGCTGGAGGGTCAAGATAAAGGACAGAGGGCTCACCAGTTGTGGTCGAGGGCAAAAGACAGACTTGTCATGGGGAAACAAAATCAAAGTAAGTTAACCACCACCAGTATACCAACTGAATCAGAGCAGGACAGTGAGAAATACAACTGAATCTTACAAACACCTTCCCCTCACCTCTCCCTGCTTCCCAGGTTCAGCTCTGCTCTCAATTCCCTACCTTCTCCTCACCAGTGGCACTGGGGAACGGGAGTTGCAGTCAGTCTGTCACGTTGTTTCTGCTGCTCCATTCCGTCAGAGGAAGGACTCTTTGCAGTCCTTCCCTGCTGTGCTATGGTGTCCCTCATATGGGAGACAGTCCTCCACAATCTTCTCCAACCAGCATGGGTCTATCCCATGTGTGTAGTCCTCCCAGCAATAGGCTGCTCCAACACAGGCTTCCCTTGGAGTCACAGCCTTCTTCGGGTGCAGCCACCTGCTCTAGTGTGGAGTACTCCACAGGGACCAGGTGAGATTCTGCTCCACTGTTGCTCACCATGGGCTGCAGAGGCTCAGCATGCCATCTCACCATGGGCCACAGGGGAACCTCTGCTCCATCACACATCCCCTGCTCATTCCACAGTGTCTGCATAGTCACCTCTCTCACATCTTGCTCCTCTCTAAAACAAAAGAACTAGCCCAAGAGATTTTTTCCCTCTTAAATATGTTATTGCAGGGGTGGTGGCTGCCTCAGCCAGCAGCAGAGGTGAGTTTGACTTGGAGCTGGGGGAGCTTCTTGAAGCTTCTTACAGGAGCCACAGCAGTAGCCCCCTCCCCTGTTACCAAAACCTTGCCAGATACAAACTCAGCACAGCTGGAGTACAGGTTGCTGGTTGCTTCACTAAACCCATGTGAAGGAGGAGGGTCTCTTAAGACTCAGACATGCTCTCATCAGACCCACCTATTTGGGAGGACAGCCCCACAGTGATGTGACAAAATGAATACACAGCATTACACTGACTATGTACTGAGCTTATAGAAAGCCTTGAAAAACAGACAATGTGAAAATATGCATTTCCACAACAGGTATTGTTAGTGCATCTAACTCCCTGAGGGCTGTGGGGTCTTTGACAGAAACTGATGCCTTAGGTAGGGGTTTCAAGTTCAGGTCTTCCTAGGTTGCAGCAGCCAGGGGCTGTGTTAGCTCATTCCTTGTGAGCTGTGACAGGGAAGATGCTATGGGCAAGCTGAATTTGTAGATGGTGGTAGCAGAAGGACTCCTAGGAGCAGCTTGTAATATGGGAGAAAACTGGATGGAGAGCTGGTGACAACTGTAATTGCCCACTTCCAAACACGCTTTTAAGTCGGTGAGCTGTCCTCTGTGGCTGGGAGGAATAGACAGGACTGGCACTTGCTCTGTACTGTCCAGCCTCTGGTGCCTCCCAGTACCAACACTAAATTTTTCTATATGGGAAAGGAAATCGGCATCAACTTGAGTTCAGTGGTCATAGCTCTCCTTTCATCAGAGTTGCTGCCTTGGCAGGGAATGCCACAGAGCAGCACCAGGTTCTGTTTGCCTTTCAGCTTTCCTTCCCACACCAGACACTGTTGTTGATGTCCAGCGACCAACAGGACATTAACGATTGGTATCGGAGCCTCACAGCTGCAGTCAGGTGGGCATCTATTTTCTGGAAGTGGAAGGGGGCAGAACATAAAAATGGTCATATGGATCTGTCTTTGGATGCATTACGTGGTTAAAAGGCTGACAGAGAAGACCTGACTCTGGCAGCCAGGACGCAGGGGAACAGTAAGAAAAGATTTCATGTATTAACAGTGAACTTTGTTTTCCTCAACAGGCAGCTGGAAACCTGACCCACCTGAGTACAAGACAGACTAGCAGGACAACTCCTGCCCTTGGTAGAAGCCTACACAAGCTCAGGAAATGTGTAGGATGTATAGAATTGCATTTAGAGGCAGTACACACTGTGCTTGTGAGATTAGGAATACTTCGTCAGCTCTCCTAATCTTAATACAGATATTGCAAAAAAGAGCAATGCACACTAGAGTTTTTCGGTATACAAATCTTGAGAATTTTCTTCCATTCTAGCTTAGAAGCTTCTAGCTTTTCTGCTCCTTTTTACCTGGCAGATTATTAATTTAAGGACGAGCAAAAGAAAGCCTGACTTGCTTTCCCTGATTAAATGTTTTTATCAACTCTCTTTCTAAATCAGTGTTTTCATATTTATTTGTCTGCGTAGAGGTCTACCTGCTCTCTGCCTGGGCCCTTGAATCTAAATTGGTGGATAATGGTAACATGGGTATTACAATGTATTTTCAGCTAGTGCTACACAGCCACAGATGTCTTCCTCCCTTGAAGTATTTTTATCATTCATATCCTTGAGTTTTCTCCCAAATAGTTGGACAGTTATTGTCCCTCCTGCTCTACAAAAATGACAGGTGGGCAGACCAAGGGAAAATGATTCAGTGGGTTAGAGTCCTTCCTCTCAGTTACTCATCAATCCCACAGAAAAATTAATCTGCTGAACTATATGAAATAAACTGGTAGGTAAGATAGACTTGTCCTTATCAAGCAGCATTCACATTTCTGATCTGAATCCTAAGAGATTATGCAGATGAAACAACTCTTGCCTTTTCCTTCAAGCTGTGCAGCAGCATTACTGCTACAGTGAGAAGCTCTGCTCCTGAAGCATAGAATGGTTTGGGTTGGAAGGGACCTTGAGGGTCATCTGGTTCCAACCACTGCCATGGGCAGGGAAGGACACGTCCCACTAGAACAGGTGGCTCAAAGCCATGTCAAGCTGGGCCTTGAACACTTCCAGTGGCAACCTGGGCAACCTCTTCCAGCACCTCATCACCTCCACAGTAAAGAAGTTACTGTCACTCCTCATCCTACCACCATGCTCCCTGCTAGTGTCTTTCTGTATCTTTCCTGTAGGCCCCTCTTTAGACACTGGAAGGCTGCCAATAAGGTCTCTCTGGAGCCTTCTCCTCTCCAGGCTGAACAACCCCAACTCCTGCTCAAGCAGGTCCGTGCCTTTCTGAGGGCCTCACGGCTGGATACAGTACTGCAGGTAGGGTTTCACTAGAGTGGAGGGGCAGAATCATCTCCCTTGATGGGGTGACCACAATTCTCTTGGTGCAGCGCAGGATATGGTTGCCCTCCGGGCTGTGAGTGTGCACTGCTGGGTCACATCCAGCTTTTCATCCACCCACACTTCAAGTCATTCTCTGCAGGGCTGCTCTCTACCCACTTATCACCCAGCCTGTATTGACACTGGGGATTGCCCTGACCCAGGAGCATGAACCTTGTGCTTGGCCTTGTTCAACTTCATGAACTCACATGGACCCAACCCTCAGGGTCCCTCTGGATCACATCACACCACATCCCTCCAGCATCTCAACCGCACCACACAGCTTGGGGTAGCTGGCAAACTCACTCGACCCTGCCGTCTGTGCCACTGACAAAGGTGTTAGAACAGCACCAGACCCAACAGGGACTCCTGAGGAATGCCACTGGTCTCCACTTGGACATCAAGGTGTTCACTGCAACTCCTTCGAGTGTGATCACCAAAGCACAGGGAAAATGTCCAGAGGGTTATGGTCTGCTTTCTGGATCATCTGGTAACACGCTAGGGTTTGGTTTACTAGGATGAAAGGCCAATTTAAGGAATACAGGTAAAGTATTATTTTTGAGTATTTAATTAAAGCCTCAATATGGACTTTGAATAATGTGGAAGCCCTGCAGCAAGGGCAGTTTGATTGATCTCTTCCATCGAGAGGGTAAATATCTGTTTGAATAAGATGCTGGGTCAACTGCAAGGAAAGCAAGTCCAAGGCCATCGGAAACATAAAAGCTCTGTATGAACACCAGTGTTTTGACTGTTTTTTTTTCTTCTTTCTTAAACAGTACCACGCATCTTTATTTTCTCACTGGAATTCACTGAAACAGAAGTAGTACTGTGTCAGGCAAGTATCCTGAAGGGAAAATTACCAAATTTCAAGTTAGTATCACTTGAGTATTTTTCTTTCCACACAGCTAACTCACTACATAGGATCAATCGTTTGTTTTGCATTTGTGCAACTTGGGAAGGAACCTCGCATGTCTGGATTTTGTCAGGTTTGTTTGTTTGTTAGTTTTTTTTTTTTCACTCAGAAACCACAGCTAAAACTTGTAAATACTAGCTTTACTTGAAATCAGACACAGCTAGCAACTTAGTTTATCTCCCAGTAATTATATCACCTTCTGAAAAAGTTCTGCTACTATCCCTTTTTGTTCTAATAAGGTAATACACAGACTCCTTGCTGTCTTACACAGGAGGCCAAGATGTCTACCAAGCTCTTGGTAAAGATGACTATTCCCACCCACACGGCCTCCTTCTTACAACACAAGTCCCTTTGGTACTGCCTCTTTCAGACTTATCTCAGTCCTGCCATACTGTCTACACTCAGCATCTCTGCAAAAACAAGTGACTTGACTTTTTGCTGAATTTCCCACCCTGAATGGCTGTACACTGGGTTCTTGAGAACACTGTACTCTGTCACAAAAGTGGAGATGCTGCCCCAGAAAGTCGGGCTGCTGGACCAGAAGCTGTAACAAATCTACTCTTTGCTGGAATAAATTACTAACCCGTGCAGAGGAATATAATGCAAACAGAAGCAAACTCACTTTCTGAACAGAGTTTATTTGTACAGGGGATATCAACCATCAGGACTCCCTGCTTGGTGTCCTTCTCTCTCTGAGTCTCTATTCAAATCACAGGAAGAAGCAAATAAACTTTGAGTGCCTGTCCCCATCATGGCCACTCAAGTTAGTAACCAACCTTCAGACTTCCGAGCGTATCTGCCATTCCTGAACAGCAACACACTACGTGGTGTGTGTGCAGCTGACACCAAGCCATGTCCCCAGCAGAGAGGGGTGCTTAAAGAGGGGTGCCCTCAGGGGCCTGGGAGGCTGCTGCCTGCCGCACGTCCTCCCGGTAGCCCTTTAGGAGCTGGTTGAGCAGCGTCTTCTCCGAGTCGCGCTGTGGGCGGATGAGCGGCGGGTAGGGGTTGCCCTTGAGCTCGATGACTGCCATTTTGGCGCGGTCAAGGCTATCCCGGTTAGGGATATGCAGAAGGCGGGTGTAGCTTCCGGGGTGGGGCTGGAATCGGGGTGCCAGCACCTTGAACAGCTTGTGGATGAGGTCCTTCTCCTGCGGGGTGGCACGCTCAGCCCCGGCTCCACGGCTGAGGGGCGCAAGGAGAGATCTGAGGGGGACGGGGGCACAGTACTCACCGTCAGCCAGAAATTCGCCATGCGCATGGCGCGCTCGTTGGTGTCGCCCAGCTTGGCGTAGTCGATGAGCTGTGGGGAGGAAGGAGGC